TTTGTTAACGTTAAAGCATTGGGCAAGATTTTATATCGAAAATCCCAGCTTGTGTGCTCGTGTGATTCTGTTTCTGTCCTCTTCACGGAGATAACGGGATCTTCTGGTTTCGAGCGCTGCTTGCTTCATTATGGTGACAACAATACGAATATTCAAAGCTGTGTACAAAAATGACCATGATTTCAAGGTTGACTTTGATTGAAGTGGTATTTCTCGAATTCAGTGAGTTAGATATGAAACATAGATTATTATTTTTATTATGAAACCTTATTTAATGCAATTTCTCTGGGTTGCGAAAAACTTTCTTTTGGTTATCCAATGGATTATATATTAGATAGAATAATGCCTCATAACAAATAACCGAGATGGCAAGGGCTTATGGAAATATTTTAGGATAATTCTTGAGTCATTCCTATTAGAAAATATTGCGTTGTGATACTTGATAAAGTTTGTGGTCTTCATGTTCAGATCATTTAATCTTGGCACACAAGGTCAGGCACATCTAATTGACACTTATGCAGACTAGAAACCACGTAGATCGAAGTAGACGAGGGATAAATTATTGTCCATACCTAAAGCATTAATACCGGTGATAAATATAATGAAACTCCATTTGATCATAAAGAAAATATTTTAGTGCATCAGAATCGGTCAGTACCGTATTCTTCGTTATCTGTAGAATGGGAGAAAATAAGATGTCGGTATTGAGACGGTGTCGTCAGGCGTGATTCGCTCAGTTTGCAATGTTCCATTTATCAATTCAGCTTATTTTTGATCTGTGCTATCTACAAGATACGCAGTTTCATCTTTCTATTGAAGCCTTTCAGAAGAGAAGAAGTCGCTTACCAACCACACGATTCTTCTGCAGTAGTACAGCAACCATTCCAGAAAACATTTTGTAATCTTCTCGTTTCAATACCAGTGTGTTTCAATATTATTTCCCATTGGTCTACAGTCATATTTCCTGATTTGCTCAAAAGAAGACCTTGCCGCTCTGCGTAGCAGTTTGACTTCCATCAGACGCGTTCTACTCCTTCTCTTTTATCACTTACTTGTGTCATCAGCATACTGATTCTTATCGGAGTTATACTCCCAAGATATTCGGGGACAAAACCCAATCTCCATACGCTGACTGATCTCTCTGACATTCCCATTGTTCAACTAGGTTCACTTTGGTGGCTCGGATCTCGCAAAGAATCAATATATGCAAAAATTCCCCTGTTCCGTATTTGACCGCAATCCTCACAAATGGAGAAATTGCTACTCAGCTGCAGATGAGACTTTCGGGAGGAATCATGTTTATCCACTTTTTCATGTATTTTTTTCTGTCCTCGTTTGCAACGATTTTATATTTCTTTTATTGAAATGTAAGCATACCATCTTACAAAAGCTTATTAATAAATAATACGATGCAAAATTCAGTTCCACTTTTCACAATCATTAATCATGTATTTTCATGCGCCGGTTTTGCCTGCTGTCCATTTAGGTAGAAGAGCAGAATGAAGATTGGAGTGTTGAGAGTAGAGTGAAAGTAAAGATAGAGAATTCTTATAAACTGGGGTTGCAAAAACATCAAGTACATGCACGAGCGCCACTGTTTGGGACACTAAGTCATATGATTCAGTCCAGTTTCTACAAACATTAACCATACACTATCGTGCACCGGTATTGGTTGCTGTCTTTTGGCTGCCCGTTTGAAACGAACGCCACTGTTTACAACACCCAGCCATATCGCTCAGTGTCTCTAACCATTGGGTACGATCATCCCGGGGTCCCCATCCAGGGAGCCTAACGAGACCTATATGACCCAGACTCATGGTTAGGGTCTTAGCTCGACCACCCTTGACTTTAGCACACTCACTACCTGCCTCGGCGAACATCGCTCGCCGTGGCAACCTATTTGATGACCTGCGTAACACATGCCCCAACCAACGTAATTTGACCACCGGTTACCATGACCGCGGGGTCACCATCCCGGGGAGCCTAACTAGACCTATGTGAGCCAGTCTCTTGGCTAGGCATTTTTTCATACCCTCAGCACAGGTCTTTATTTCACCACCCTTGACCCTTTTCCGTCCGCCGAAGTAACCTATTTGATGGCATGTGCAATACACGTCCCCTTCACCGTCGACCAGTTGCTCCAATGAACGATTGCGGTTACCTAAAACTCTGAAAACTGAACTTCATCAGACCAATGTAATGCGGTATAGATAGTGGTGTTCGAACACTTGGCCCATTACTTTCCAATTCAGAGTGTGGTCGGGGGCTGGATCAAACCAATCTTGTAGCAGCGTTTTACATTTTGAAGATGGAAAACACATATCGAACATGGCTAGAATAGCACTCAAACTATTTAGAAAAGCTTGTAATGGAATGATTGTAGTTCAGGATGCGGAGGTTGGTGTTGGTGAGTTCTCCGAGCTGGAAATGTTGCCTAGTTTGGTTACGAAACGTCTGCGAACAACACTTCCAGCTCGGACAACTCACCAGCACGAAGCAAGTAGCTTACCTGGACGATGTAAAATTGTTGTTATGTATGTGGTACAAGAGGTGAAACGAGCGATCCAAGTCGTGAAAATCATTGTGAAGAAACAAACTGGATTGTAAACGAGGTCAGACACAGTTGAACGAAAACGAAACTACTCAACACAAAACCGCGCAGGGGGAGGATGGGCGCACAAAAGCAAAGAGAACTGAACGAGTGCACGGAGAAACACAAGTTGAGTTGAGAATAAGAGAGAGAGACTTACCAGAACCGATCCTTGAGGACCAACTGTTGCAGTCATACTGCGTGGGAAAACCTGGTGAACATGTGGTGATGCGCTAACACTACCCCTGAGTGGAATAGCAGCCAAAGGAACGGATACGGAACACCGCACACGCGTCTTCGTAGCGGAACAGAATGATTGTGTGGCTGAGAGTGGGAACGACGGAGGCGGTGGGGTTAGTGAGTCCCCGTCCAAATCTCGTTCGAATTCGGTCTCCGCTAACGGAGCTGGGGCTGGTGGTTGTGGTCGATTCAGACTTAGTCCGGATAGGCGAAACTCTCCGGGTGCTGAGGTTAACGGTGAGGCCGCAGCGGCTGCCGCACTGAGCAGAACACCAGGACCGGCATCTACGCTGGCACTGCGATTCAGTAGAGTTGGTGGAGCGGCAGTCAGACCGGAGGGAGTCATTGTGCGGGTTACAGAACGACCTTGTCGCGAAACAAACGGACTTGCTGTTGTATTGCCGTGCAACAAGGCACTTCCAGCCCCAGCAATGGACCGGCGGAAGTTTTTCAACCCAGCCAGGACAGATTGACAAACACTTTTTCGTTGACCGCCCATCGGTTCGAAACGATCTGCGTGTGAACGACCGCTAGGCGTGAGTACTGAGCTGCGCCCGAACGGAAAGGCCCGTACGCGACTCAAAGAGTTTCTACTCGTGGTTGCGGAGCGCAGAGATCGCAAAGAAGTCATACTGTCAGTGGCAGGATTTCTGGTAGTCAGATCTAGAGTGTTAGATTGCAGTGACGAAGCCGAGGACAGAGCATCAGCACCATTATTAAGTCTTGTGATTGCATGTCGCTTATTGCTATCTAAATCTATCGCAGTGGGTTGTTTGGCAAAAGCGGGCCACGCACCGCGACCACCAAAATTGCCAGAAGTCACTGAGATATTGTCCAAATCTGGATCATCATCGGTGTAATCATCAAAGATCAGCGGTTGCGGGAAAGTTGATGCACCGTCATCGTCATCCCCTTCATCATCATCATCATCCGCCACCACGCGACCCCCGGTGCGACATCGAATACGATCAGCCGAACGACTGGGACGAACCAGATTGAGCATGGCCATNCCTGGTCAGCTGTGGGTGTGGGAGGCGGACAGGTAGACCGGCCGGGACGGGACTCGCGAAGTGGAGTGCTTGCGTATCGACCCAATTCATGTGGATTGGCTGGTGCAGCGAATGTGGTTGTCGTATCTACAGGCTGTGCACGATTCTAAAAATACGAGAGACAGAAAAATGAATAGACAAATTTAAGGCATAATTTGGAATTTTTGCATTAAAAACCGTTCCATCAGTTGAGTGGCACTTTGCTATGCGTGGTCGGACAAGTATGCACTGGTGAATGAATAAACCCAAACAAAAAACCTACAGGGTTGGGGGGATGAATGTCGACTATACTTCTAGATGACAAATCAGGTTATCGTGCTACTTGCATGAATAATGCGGATGATCGACTTCCATCAAAAGATTTGCCCTGAACCGACAACGATATATCGGTGTGGAACAGAAAGGTGTAATATTGCATGAAGCAATGCGTCGAGAATGACAAATGAAAGAGAGAGCTAGGAGATCAAAGGGACAGAGAGGAACAAACGCAATGAGTGTATCCACGTTATAAGGTGGCAGAGCGTTGCGACAGCCTGATACGGCTGATTTTCACCGAGGCGATCGACAGAGATACCCAACAACGAATGAACAGTGGGAGCATCTGATAAAACGGGGCCAAGTCATCTTCCAGGTCGATAATGCTAAACCTTTGTTGTATCCTTCCCGGCCCGTGATACGAATGCACAGACCACTCAAAGCAAGTCTTTCGATGACGGTCGTTCATCGAAGCGACCTTAACCAAACTTTGTGCATTCAGGCCACAGCTGCTCAACATTAATTTGAGCGTATGCTCTGACCAGGGGGAATGCACATTCCCCGTTTCGGGATGCTGAAGACACAAAGCGAAGGGTGAACAACGAGACGTGTGCCGATAGATAGGAACGAAGATAAGGTGAGTACCTTTTCGAGAAAAGTAGATCGTGTAATTGTACCTACTGTAATTTAGTTAATACTCGGTACAGTTCTAGTCAGTTGGATGAAATCATTCATGATTCGTTCAGCACGAACGTGGTTCTCAATTTTTTCGATCAACAGTTTGAGTCTGAGCAGGAGTGGGAGGGACACCTCAAATAATCCCCAAAGGAGGTTTCAGAGATCAGAATACAGCAACAGATAATGATTTGAACTGACCACACTTCACCTTCACGCACAATTTTCAGTGCTTTTAGTCAACCATACACTCGAAAGTGCTGGACTCGAGTTCCACTCTTATTGGAGCTCAGCAGTAGTTGACATCCTGTCCGGACTTTGAACTCCAGGCCCATCGCATAGAACGCGTTTTACCACTGTGCCAACCAGTTCATGCTAGGATTGAACCGAATTTCCGAGTAACTTTTTGTTCAAATGTGATAGCCAGTGAGTTAATTTTAGTCCGACAGCAACGACGGGTGATACAGCTGGCTGTCTGTTAACTCCAATCGAAAGTCGCTCATCAAATCTGACCGTCCATGCACTGCTGAGGTGCCCTGATAAGAGCGAAGCTCGAGTCTGGTGCTTACCAGGTGTATAGTTGACTGAAAAAGGTGAGGGTTGTGCGTGAAGTTGAAGTGCGGTCGGTTCCAATCACTATCACTTATACCACACTACTACTCACAAGTAACTGTGAGTTAAATGCGAATTATTATTAATTCAGCAATATATAAGTGGTGCAGCTGTGAAGACACGCAACGAACAAACAAACAAACCAAAAACGAAATCGTCAATGCCCAACAACAACACTACGAGTGCATGAGCCACGAGCGCAAGTGAAAAAAGGAACACGTCGCGGGCAGGATTCGAACCTGCGCGGGGGAACCCCATTGGATTTCTAGTCCAACGCCTTAACCACTCGGCCACCACGACACAGAGGAGCGGGCCCATTATTTTGTACTAGAAAATTCATGTGGGATTAAAACTATAGTCCGGGGAAATTCACTTAGAAAATGCCATCATTCAACGAAACATCGTTTAAAAAAAAGTTAACGTCAAGAGAGCACATTGTTTGAGAGGACTAAATATATAATTGACGGATTTCGTCTGTGACGACCAAACTGGTTGGTTTTTGTAAATGACGCCTATTGTGATGTTCTATAACTGTAGACCGTAACATTTCGTTGATAAATACTTTGTTCAGTGTCGCTAGTTCATACGCTGCATACGTGTGAGATAAGAGGTCCTGGGTTCGAACCCGGGGCCGCGTGCATTGTTCTCTCTGTCGCGCACGCGCGCGTTATCACAAACGAACACGTCGGGAGGCGATTGTGGCCACTCACCCCAAGCAAACTGCCCAAAACCGAGCGACGTGGACTGGTTATCAGACTGGCTGCAGAGCCGCCGAGTCGTGTGTCGCTGGGACACGGTAACTGTTGGGACCACGGATTCACAGGCACGTGACCCGGTGTGCTTGCCGGCCCGGTTCCCCGTTTGGCAGAGACCACAAGACGCCGGGATGTTTTGATCGAGATGTTTCGTGTCAGCTGTCGTCCAAATCTGAAAAATATACAAGCGTGGAACGAACGAAAATTGTTGAAGCAAGTGGAACTGTGCGCCAACAATCGTACTCGAGGAGCTTTGGATATACAGACGCCACACACACACACACATACACAGAGAGAGAGAGAGAGCAAATAAAAGTCACGTGTGCAAGAAACTGCAGTCTAACGCCTAATCATGGTAATTGAGGTAGAGGAAAAAAAGTTACTGTCAGAGGTGGGATTCGAACCCACGCCCACATTCGTGGACCAGAACACCCAGAAGATCACTCTTGAGTCTGGCGCCTTAGACCGCTCGGCCACCCTGACACACCGACGGGCAGATCTAATTGGTTTTAAGAATATCACAAGCAACTTCAAATGTACAACTTAACTAATGGAACCAAATGAAAGTCAATAGTGGTAAAGGATGTATCTCAAGCGTCAGCTGACTTAGTTAAATCGTGTTTTACAAATGGTCTTTAGGGACTGCAACTTGTGCGTCTAGATTTTTTGTTATATACCTTTGTCATCATCATCATGCAGTATGATATAGTCAAGCGAACTTCACTGATCGTTGTGGAGTTTGTAAGGGGTTCTGGTAACTAACAAACTCCTATAAGGCTCCTGAAAGATGAGGCTGAACTTCTCTGCAATGACTATTACTGTAACTGATCGGATATGGCAAGTCATCTCTCTCTCTCTGTCTTTCGTTTTCGTCTGTATTGTGACTGATTGTACGATGAAATCTGGACCACTTTAGACATTTGCCGGACATCATTTTTCCTCTACAATCTAACTATACCTTCACATTTTTGATCTCAGGCTGAACGTACTACGACATTTGTTTTACACCACTACGATCGACTGCATTCATCCGCACCAGGACTTTCGATCGGTTTGCACGTTATCGCGCTCGCTGTTCCTTGTTGCCTTCACGTAAATTTTCCTTAGCGCGTACCGGTACATTACCGGTGTCATGATACTTCAATACACGTCTGTTTGTTGTTTGTAAGTCACGGGATCCGTTTAGAAGCTCGTCACAACTGGCTGTAGTTGACGCAGTTCACGTCTGATCGGCTGACAACGACATATGGAAAACAGTCGATTAGTCAGTTAGCACCTAAAGAAAAAAGGTTGTTGTGAGACAACGCGGTGTTTGGTATGTCCAGTAATTTGTACGGTCTAGTTCAAACCTCTCAATCACGTGCTCCAACGAGCACCAGTCCCCTCCCCACCCCACCCCTCACACACATACGGTTAAATGATCAACTATCTTCTGGGTAAATTCACCAAAATGACCCACGTTCTAGTTTCCATCAATTTGATCAGGTTTTGAAAATCATCAAATGCCCTCTCGGTTTCAACGGTGAAACCACACGAGTGATTAAAACGATTCCCGCTCGTGCAAAACTCTCCCCCGATAATGATGGATAACGCCATTGAATAACACAAACAATAATCGAACAAATAGAACTTACTTTTTCGACTTGAGAGCAACTGCAGTGGCATTGAACACTTGTTCCAAATCGAACCCGAGTAATTCTTCCGGTTCGACGTCGACTAAGAGTTCGTCCGGACTATTGGTCAGACAAGAGACTTGGATAATGTGATGACAGAGTTTGTTTAAGAATGCCCGTTTCGCCTCGTCCACACAGGCCTGTAACGTGGCCACATGAGCATAGGCACTGTTCGTACCGGCGCTAGGGTTGTTCGCACTGGTGGTAGTTGTAGTAGTAATACAGCTGGTGCCATTGTTGTTGGAGTTATTCAGGATGTTGTTACCGGGCAATGTTGCTGTACTGGCAGTGGTGCTGTTCGTGTTGCCCACAGACTCCGCACGACTGGAGGCAGCGGCGGCTGCCATTGCTGACTCCACGGGTTCCGGACAGCGACCAGCAGCTACAGCTGCAGAAGCGGCGAAACTCGCCGCGAGACAATAGGCATAAACCCGATCGTCGGCCTCAGAGCTGGCGCGAACGACGAGACCAAAAGCAGCACGGTCGGGAGAAGCCGTGTCGAAGTTGACAACCTACGCAAAGTTAAAAATATTAAAAAAAACTCAAAATGGGCTGTGAAGCTGGCTGAGAATGTCACAAGTCGACAATTTTATTTTGATAGCATGCGACCACAAGTCTCCCGGTTCATGACACAGACTCATACGAGTTGTATGAAAACGAGGGGAAACGCAATCTCTGACTAGATATCAGTGTGTCAAAACACCTGTAAGAAAC